AGGACTGCCCAAGCACCAATGCTCTTTTGAGTCGCTCGCAAGTCGAGGGTTGCGCGGAAGGGGACCGGCAGAGTATATATACCTGAGCGAGGGCGCGCAGAAAGGCCGATCGCATACACTGTACGACGTGTAGAGTGCAGAGATCTGTAGGAGGTCGGTGCCAACGCCGGTTCGAGCTGCTCGCTTCGTTGCAACGTTATATGGTCAGCGCGACTTGGTGCGTTGGTCGACTTGGCTGCTTTCAGACGATGCGCTCACCAGCTGGGTGTCCATGGCGCCAGCGTCAGCACGCGCCACGATTACAAGACGAGGTCCGCGATAAAAATGCATGGTGTCACATTGCACTTTTGCAAAGTGCAACCTCAAACCGCATGGACTTTGCGGATTTTCATCGCTGGGCTCAGCAAGTGTTGCAAACACGCAGCACCCGCCAGGATGCAGGAGACCAGTTCCGTTTGTACCACGTCGTAGCGCCATGACCTGCGTACGCGGCCTGCTCCTACTGCTGCTATTGCTCTCGGCCGTCCTCGCGCAGGAGACGACGGGCGAAGTCCCATCGCCAGCGTCCAGTGATACCCCGACACCGACACCGACACCGAGCACGGACGCGCCGGCAACGACAGCGCCGCCGCCGACTGTTGCGCCAGAGACACCTTCGCCCACACCACCGCCGCCTTCGCCGCAGCCCACAAAGACCGATGCACCAGCCCCGACAGTCAGCCCGACGTGGGCACCGGCGCCGCCGACGCAAGCGCCCGTGACCAACCCGACGCCCAATCCCGGAAACAATGTCGCTACGCCGCCGCCTGCTGTGACCGTGCCGCCCACGGTAGTCATCGTGCCATCGACCGAGTCGAGCTCGACCCCCGCCGTGGCCACGACGATGCCGTCACCACCAAAAGAGAACAATGCCAGTCGCCCGGCCAACAGCACAACGTCCACCGAGACTGCGTCGGGATCAAACATGGACGTTATCGTCGGCGTGCTTGGTGGTATCATTGGCACCGGCGTGCTCGCCCTCGGTGTTGTCTGCGTCCTTCGCCGGCGGCAGCGCAAGAACGTGCCGGCGCGGGACTCGACGTTTTGGCCCATCTCGCCGCCGCCGGCGATGCTCGAGGCGAGCCCGCGCAAGCCGTCGACGTTCTTCCAGAAACACCAGTCGGCGCTCGCGTCGCTCGACGGATCTCGGTCGACGACCATCTCGGACGACATTCTCGACTCGTTTGCGCCCAACCGCCGGTCGTCGGCGCTCTTCTTGCGCGAAGATTCCGGTCGGGCCAAGTCGGTGCAGATCGACGTCGCCGACTCGATAAGACCTTCCAACATCCTCGTCGGGAGTGTTCACATTGACGACGACGACGACTTTGACGGCGACGTCGACGCCATCCGCGGACACCACCAGTCGTACACGCTCTAGTCTATTTAACCCGAACCGCGTCTTTTTCAATGTTGAGTTTTCCGAAAATTGACACTGCCAACCATGCGAATCTCTGTCGAGGCAAGGACGCACCAGTCGCCGCAATAGGAGATAGTACGGCGTCGTAATAATAATAAGTCAATGGGGACTGTCCCCTAGTTCTACGTCGTCGTTGATTTAGGCGTCGAGCTCCTCGAAGCGGTCGCAGTCCCGTGCGAAGCGGTCCTCGCTCATGCGCTCCCGCTCCATGCGCGACATGCGGCGCGGCATGTAGTTTTCGGCGTCGGTTGAGCCATGCCAGCTCGCGCGCATGGCCGAAATGATGTTTTCTTGGATCGCGATCGACTTGCGCATCTCTTCAAACACATCGGGCGCTTCTTTTGTTGGCGTCTCGGCCTCGAGCGCCGACATTTGGCTTGGCGTCAGTAGCACGAGCGGCGGCTGTTCCTCCTTGGAGAGGCGGTAGTCGCGTTCGTCCTTGGCCGCCGCGGTGCTCGACCGCCGCACCGAGGTATGGTGGACGTTCATCCCAAAGTACGTTTCGCTCGGTCGATTGGACTTGGAGAAGCTCGAATGCGTCGACGGCGCCGTCTCATTGAACTGCCACGACGGCACATCAACAGGCGTTGTCGCGGCCGTGCTTGCAATTTGATTCGGATCGTCTGCCAAGATTTGTTAGGTGTAGGGTTGCGAAGCGGGATAGGGTTCGTACCGGTCGACGGCGCGCGCGACCGCACGCACGTAAGGCAAAAGTCATCCACGTACGTTGTCATGGTCGTCTTGTGCATCGTAGCGCTCGTGGTCGGCGCGTCTTGGACGGCATACGTAATACGAAGATAGCACTTGGTGCACATGGTCTAGCCAAGCTCATTGTGAATTTGCACTTTTGGACGGATGACGTACGAGGCCACAGAGCCGACACGAGAGCTTGGTGCTAAAGAGTGAGAACTTCTTGACGCAGACGACGCATGTCTTTTTCGTGCTAGACATACAGCGGGTTGGACGATGGCATAAGACACAAAGAAGCGTACTGCTCGACGATGCGCTTGTAGGACGCCCGCGTGATCGGGTGCGACTGCGCGAGCGACGCCGACGGCCGCAGCTGTGTGGCCGAGAGGAGGCTGCGGATGTGCGCAAGCGACGCCACTTTTCGGTGGATGCGCCAAAAGCAGAGCGACGACTGGTCGCCGAGGTACTTGGGCACCGTGCCCTTCATGTCGTGGTACGATTTCACAACCACGTGGATCTTGCCATTCTGCGCCGGACGAAAGAGCATCGTGTCCATGATCGTCGCGCGGTAGACGTCGGTGTCGGCGCTCGGGAGGTAGTTGTCGATCGAGTAGACTACCTTGCAGAGCGTGTCAATGCCATGGTTGTCCGGCAGCACCGTGAGATACTAGAGTCATTCAAAATAGTCGGAAAGCTATTTTGGCAGGACCCACGTACCTCGAGGTACAGCGTGTCGCGTGCGTGCACGCCGAGCTTGGTGCCGGGAAGCGTAAACTTGAGGTACTTGACGCCAAAGAACTCGACGTCAGTGTCCGAGGGGAGACAGTCGTCGCCGCTGTGGCTGCCGCCAGAGTAGTTTTGCACCACGTGCGACGTGACATAGTCCTTCTCGAGCAAGTACGACTGCATGATCTGGTCGTCGAGCGTCGTGGGGGCGTTGAGCGCCATGCGCAGCTCGTCGAACGTCGTCGCGAGGTACCCGACACTCAAGAACGTGTAGAGCGACGGGTTGGCCTTCCCAGCACCAAGGCGTGCGCGAAACACTTGCATGTTGCGCTTGTTGACCGTGAGCTTCCACCCCGACCGATCGTCGCGGGCCTCGTCGACCCAGAGATCCGAGTTTTGCACCGCGTCGCGCCCAATGTCTTCGACGAGCTGGCGGTGCTGCGCGCGCTGCGAGAGCGCGTCGTACGCAGGCATGGTCGCTCAACTAATAATGGCAAAGTCGACTGTGGCGCTTGGTACCGTGACACGCATTACACCCTCGCAGGAGCGCCGAATCTGGTGCTTGGCGTCGCAGCTGGCGTGACGTTTTTTGAAGAAAGACGCGAGTTTGCACTTGGGCGAGAAGCGGTAGAATGCGTTTTTTGGGTTAAAACAATAGGGTAAAGCCGTTGACAAGAGGACCGATGCCAGCAGGCTGGGACAATCCTATCGTTACTGCAACAAGCCGCCGGCGGTACATGCAGATGCTACCTGTACAGGCCGCGCGCGATGGCAGCCGTACGCTGCAAGAAGATCGCCAGCATGCTGGATCTGTGGTCCAAGTACATTTTTAGTACGTTTGCAGTATATGTCGATGCGCGGTATGCACCTACAGTACTCGACGGTGCAATGGCGTGCGACTCGCGTGCATTACTCTTGACTGACTGTTGCGCCACTGTGAGCAATGCCTTCGCCTCGATTACTTCAGTGCAATGAGCGTCCACGGCAGTCACGACTTTGCACTTGAGTGGTGGTCGGACGGTCGCACCCGACTTCAACCCGATGCTGTCATGCGCTCATGCGCCGCGTCGCCGCCCGATCCTCCTCGGTCCAGAACGAAATCGAACGAAATTCATTGGCCTGAGACGACGACGATGACGACGACTTGGTGCTCCGTGCTCGGGCTGCTGCTAATGCGGCTTCAAGCCAAGGGCTTCGCTTGTCGCGCTGATAGTATCGGACCTATAAACACCGATCGCGATCCTACATGGTCGTCGGCAAACGATATGAGCCAACAACAAGCAAAGGAGACATAGAGGAAGACGTCAAACGTGCGTCAAAGTGACGCTTTAATATACAACTTGGGTTAATTTAGCTACGGACGGGCAGATCGACGACGACGACGAGCGCACTTAGTTGGTGGGCGAGCTGCGGTTCGTGTGCGTAATGCAAAAGCCGCCGCGGCGCGCCGCGTGGTTGCAGCTCTCGACTGCGCAGCGCTTGCCGCCACCGTGCGTGTAGCAGATGCCTTTGCCTTGGGCGATCTTGGTGCAGCCGTCGACTGAGCACTTGCGGCCGCCGCCATGCGCGACGCAGAGCCCGCTCTTGTGGGCACACTTTTGGCAGCCGTCAATCTTGCAGAGGTGGCGGCCGCCGTGCTCCTTGCAAACGCCCTTGCGCTTCGCGATACGCGTGCAGCCCTCTTCGCGGCAGCGGGTGCCACCGCCATGGAACTTGCAGTAGCCGCCGCTCTGCGCGATCGTGTGGCAGTTGGGTTCTTGGCAACGCTTGCCACCGCCGTGACCAATGCAGTAGCCGCCGGCGAGCGCGTACTTTTCACACGCCTCGTGCTTGCAGCGGCGGTTGACATGCTTGGCCTTCTCCGAGGCGGTCGGCGACTGCGCGCGCGCTAGCGTTCGCGGCGTCATGATCTCACGGACGTGCTGGAGGCAGAGCTGTGAGATTTTGGCAAAGCGCGTGCAGCCGAGGCGCGCACAGCGCTCGCCCGCAAACGACTTGCACGTGGGCTCGAGCGGGTTCAAAAACGGGTTGAGCTTCGGACTAAAGACCGGACTCGATGTGTCGAGGAAGCGCTGAAAGCTCGGGAGCATGCGCGGGCTCAGAAGCTTGGTCGGCGTCAAGGACGGGCGCAGAAGCGACCGGGGCGCGTGCGTTGGCGTCTCCATTGCGGTGTGAGCGGACGATGGCAAAATGAGGAATGTGTTATATATCGTTGCAGGTTGTTCGGCGCACCGTATCTTCCCCGCCGCTGCCCGTGCTTCTGCCTTGTGAACGGCGACGCGATGGCTGCCAGATGGCTTTTCGACACATGCGGCACACAGCGTCGACATTGGCCGAGTTGGCGCGCGGGATGAGTCTGGACAGCTGCTTTGAGGCCGACCTCTCGCGGTCTCGATCTACTGTTCCGTCTTTCTACCCGGCGCGAGTAGTAGCCGCGACCAGCTCGTGCGTAGGGCACACGTACGCCGACGTCGACCAAGTGCTAAAGGACCGAGCGCTGTCGTCGTATCGCAGGCAAGTCCGCCCCCTGTCCTCGGCTCTTCTCACATTGCACGACCCTTGTTACTGTCAAATCGGCTGGATGCGTGCCACACGCGAACGTTCTATGGAACGGTGTGCGACCGACTCGGTACGTACATGGTTCGACCACTAAACAAACGAAGTTATTATAGTGCTATCTATATACACGTCCCGAGTGTATCGGATGCAGAGTCGAGCCTGAGTACATCCACGTGGTTTTCACGCCCATGCAAGATTTTGTGTGGAAAAGCACTGTTTTGAAACCATTATACTGGATGCGTTCGGACGCTCTGGATGCAACGCAAGTCCCACGCCGCAAATAATTCAGTCTGCGAACGACGACATATCGCAGTGGAGACGGCGGCTTTCATAGTGCCCGCGACACACGGGGCACAGGTGCACTTCGTAGATGTTGAACGATTCGAACGCGACCAAGCACTCGGCGTGCAAGACGTGCGAGCAACTCAAGAGCGTCACGGCCTTGGCACTAAAAGCAAAGAAATCCTGTAAAAGTTGTCGTCCACTGTTTCCAAGACACTGGAACGATCCAGTCCTACCTCATGGCGTTGAGGCAAATGGGACACTCGGCCTCGTTGCGCGCCGTGGCCTACGCGTTCGATCGAAGATTTTTTGACATCGAAGAAGCAGAACCTTGGCAAGCGCATTTGGCCACGCATTGCCCTTGGCAGTCTCTTGGTTGTTCTCGCCATTGAAGATGGCGCGACTCCGGCTCATGCTCTCGTCAAACTCGGCGAGGAGTGCGTCGATCGAGTCGGCGCGCGCCTTCATCGCACGCACGATGCGACTGCTGATCGCCGAGACCCTTGGCATCAGTGAGGCCACCCACATCTTTTTTCCATATATAATTGTCGACGCACTTGGAGGCATAAAAGAGCGATCGCCGGCGGGGGTCGCCATAACCCTGTTTGTAATACTACAAAACAAAAGATAGGATCCGCCGCAATCCCCAAAAGCGTACGTGGGCGAGGAGCGATGTGTAGCGTCTTCGCGCCAGCCAGCCGCGAATGCGTGCCTGTGCGTCACGAGTCGTTGGATTTTGGGTGACGCGTCAGGTCGTCGTCGTCATTACCTGAAGCCGACGCGCGCAGATGCTGCGGAAGTGCGCTTCGCCACTTTGCGTTGCCTTTTTTTCGTAATTTTGTTTGCGACAGAGCGGGCAGACGCGGTCGGTCGTGCGCAAGAAGCGCTCAAAACTCGTAAGGCACGTGTGGTGGAACATGTGCGAGCAGCTCAAGAGGACCTTGGCGTGTACGCCAAACGGCTCGCGGCAGATAGAGCATGGGTACTCGGCGTCGCCGCGGGCTTCGGCCTGCTGCTCGACGTCCTCCCACTGGTTGTTGTTGAGTCGCGGCGGAGGACCCGGCACCTATCGCCACACGAAGCGTCTCGGCATGACGCATACGACGCACGTACGAGGCCCTTCTTTTGCGCGAGCGTGAGCCGCGGCCGCCGCGCCACGGGCTTGAACGCGCGGCAGGCCGTACAGCGCGCCACGTCATCGTGGTTCTCGAGCGTGCACTCGTCACAGACCCAAACGCGCCGGTACTCGGACATCGGGTCACAGACACTACTACTAATGTCCTTGACAACCGAGCTGGCGGCGGTTGCCGTGGCCGATGATGGCTTTGGCTGTCGAAGACGCCTCGGTGGCAGCCGCAAATCCAAGCTCCGCATGAGATGATCCTACAGCGTATGGTCATGGGTCAATTGTTATGGTGGTGCTAGCGTCGAGATGCAGTCTTTTGTGGTACTTGGAGTGCGGCGGCATTTGTCAGCGTTGTCGTCGTCGTTGCTAGCGTAGGCCATGAGTTTTCGCGCCGACAAATGTGCCGGACCTGTCGCGCGTCGCTTCGCCTTGTCCCGCTGCATCGCGATCCCGAGCGGTTATTCGCGCGACGGTTGAGCCCGTTTCTTCATTTTCCGTCTCTTCAACCCCGCCGAGCATGACAACCCACCTGGTACACCATGTACACCGTATTTGGTCATGATAACATCACAGTATGTGTACGGTGCAGCGTGTGGCCGACGTGAACGACGTTCTGGACCGGCTCCGCCTCCAGTTCCACGCCAAGGGGACCCAGCAACTCTCGGACCTTGACGCCTACTGTGCCCGCATGGACACTGCAAACGCTGGGACCCTGGGGCGCAAAGGTACTGGTACCACTCGCATCGTCGTCGCCACAATCGCTGTAGAGCTCGAGACGTGCCTCAACTACTTTGGCTTGTTTCCGACGACCCAAGAAATCGGAGTGCTGGTCCGTAGCTTTGGAAGCACGTGCGGGTCGAGTTCGAACATTCGCTGGCGCAACTTTGTGCTCGCGCTAAGCGTACGTGGGCCAGAAGGAACGCCATCCGTGTCGTGAGACGTTTCGTACTTGTAGGGGGAGTTGTCCACCGCGCGCGAAGCGGCATTGCGCCACGCCTTTGCGTCCGTGCCGAGTGGCAGCGTGGCCGACGTGGCGGCCGCCGGGCACTTTGACGACCACCCGCTCGCCGTGCGCGGCGTGCTGCGCGGCGACGACGTCCGTCACGCCTTTGTCGTCGGGCTCGCCAAAGCCCAGGTTGGCGACGATGCGGTACGACGATCCGAATAGTCTCCGACGAGATTTCCATAGCCATCTGTCTTTATATGATATTTATAAGCAAATATGTACGGTCGTCGTAGAACAATGACGTGACGTGGCAAGCGTTCCGGACGTACTACGCCTCGGTGAGCCTCGCGTTTGCTTCCGACGACGAGTTTGTGGCGATGCTGCGCGACGTGTGGCGTCCGTCGGCGCTCCACGTGGCGCTGCCCAGCGTCCTCTTTGGCAACAAGCGCAGCGTGCTGCTTGAAAAGCTCGGCCAGCGCACGCACAAGTACGTCGCGATGAAGAACCCCGTTCATTCCGAGTCCAAACCATGATGATGATGATGATGTAGAGAAGAGAACGAGCGCGATGTCTTGCTGCGCGCATTGCGCAAGCACGACGCAAGCGAAACCGGCTACGTGGCACCGCACGAGCTGCAGAGAGCCTGTGAAGTCCTCGGCCTTGTCGTGAGCCTCGACGAAGTGCATGGTAGCAATCTCTGTGAAGAAGACGAAGAAGTGAACCAGATGTAGACACGTTTGCGGCCGGCACGCGGGATGCGCGCGGGAAGCTCTCGATCGCGTGGTTTGCCGACTTTATCTGCGCCGACAGCATTGCATGAGCGTTCTGCACCTAAGAGAAGTGTTGCATTCCGAATCTTGTTCGAAGCAGAGAGCGAGCTATCGCCTTCGACATAATGGCCGACGTCGGTTCGCGTTCGATCGCGATTGTACCACCGACTCTGCATCATCCAGCGCACCCGTGGCGTCCGACTCTCTCGCCGCCTCCACCAAACGGCTGGTCATCGAAATGATATGACGTGACTCGTCTTGCGTGACGTGGCACGTCGCAGTTGCCGGTAACACTTATAGGTGCATACCAAGCAACGCTGGTCTTCGCCGAGCCTCTTGGCCACATCACGGTCTCCTTCAAGAGGTCGAGTACATGCACCGCAACGCAAGTGCCGTCGTGAGGACGCGCTAAATGGGGAGCTGCGTATTCACAGTCCCAAAGGCCCAGAAGCGGACAAGACCACATACTAACGAGCACTACAACCATCTCGGCGCACCATGTAGGCTCTGAAACGCGCCGCGTGGACTGGGTGGAGAGGCAGGCAAACTGACTACTACAGTCACGCTCGACCAAATGAAAGAATGAGGCGACAGACAATGGCACAAGCTAGCCGTAGGTGGGAAGGCCATACCGCTGCAGCGAGTTGCTCGTAGCGTATCTTGTGTGGCCCAGACGAAGGTATGCGTTTAGACGAGGTGAAAGCTCGGCTTCTCGCTCGGGTGGAGCTTGGAGTCAACTACACGAGGTAGCATTGAGTCCTTGATAAGGCAGGGTTCTACTAATACAGCAATGTTCTTATAACCCTAAACGCTCTCAGGAATATAGCTTCGGCGGTTACACTGCTTGGAGGTGCGAAGGAGGGACTAGTCCGCGTCACTGATAACCGCTTCTCGTGGGACGTCGAAGCGGCACGGTACATGTTGCATTTTGTATGGTATACATTTATCTTGTATAGAAGCCGTTTCATTCGAGCCGCAAGGTTGCCCACATACAAGACACACGAGAATGCAATTCCGCATATACCAAAGAAAAAGGGACCCCTGGCTTCAACATGGAGGAAGATCGCGGAGCTGGCTCATTTTCCAAGCCGCGGACGAGCAGTCGGCCGCGAGATATCGAGCAAGCGAGTAGAACCTACTCGACTGCTGTAGGACGCCGGCCTGCCCTCTTCATGCCTGGCTGGGACCGCGAACTGGACGCAACGCTCTGGAAGGCTGTACGTCCATGCTGCTACGGCGGCTGCTCATGGGCCTCGTCTCTGTAGCGCCGTTGGACCGCAATCGACTGGGCGTATCTGACCCACATTAGCAGCACCGAATTCACTGTCCAGCCCGTCTTTGACACGTTCGACTAAGCGCTCGACCCGCCATCATGATGCACTTTCTCTCGCGCCTCTCGTCGCCGTTGGCACGCGTCGCGACGAGACGTTTTCCCACCGCAGCGCTGCAAGCGGCGCCGCCACGCCGCCTCAACATGCCGCCCATGCCGTTGGCCGACATTGCCTACACGCAAGCGACGGACGAAACCCTCAACTTGTCGTGGACCGACGGCCACCACAGGTACAGCGTGCCGCCTTAGACACACCTCACATGGTCCAACAGCTCGTTCCACTACATTTGGCTGCGCGACAACTGCCATTGCCCGCGCTGCCGCCACCCCGTCGCGGAAGAGCGCCTTGTCGACACGCTCGCGATACCCATGAACATTCAACCCGCGCGCGTCCAGGCGCTGCCGGCGTCGGAGGCGACCGAGGCCGTAGTGCAAATCGCATGGGACGACGGCCACGTCTCGCAGTACCCCGTGTCGTTCCTCTTTGACAATTGCTTTGCCCGACAGACGCCGTCGTCGTCGTTCTCGTCGGGCCCGACGTTGTGGACCGCCGCCGACATGGCGCATGGCCTGCCACGCTTCCCGTACGAGCACGTCATTTCGTCGGAGCAAGGGCTTCTCGAGTGGCTCGAAGCGTTGGATGCGTACGGGTTTGCGCTCCTCGAAGGCGTGCCGGCTGGTGACGACGACGCGGCGCGCGCGATGGCCGAGCGCATTGGCCTCGTGCGCAACACGTTTTGGGGCCCGACGTGGAGCGTCAAGAGCGAGCCCAAGCCCATGAACCTGAGCATGACGAGCGAGGCGCTGCATCCGCACACGGACTTTGGCTGGTCCGAGGCGCCGCCGGGGCTTCAGTTTCTGCACTGCGTCGCGTTTCAATCCAAGGACGCGATCGGCGGCGAGTCGACGCTCGCGGACGGCTACGCGATCGCCGCGCAGTTGTCGTCGTCGCACCCGGAGGCCTTTCGGCTCCTCTCGACCGTCGCGATTGACCACTGCTTCTCGAGCGAGTCGCAGTGGTTTGAGCACAAGGCGCCGATTCTGTCGCTCGACCCTACGACTGGCCGCGTGCGCGACGTGCGCTTCAACCAAGCCAACCGGTCGCCGCTGCGGCTCCATCCGGACCTCGTGCGTCCTTACTATGACGCCATGCGGCTCTGGACGGCGGCAACGCGGGACCCGACGCATCTACTGCGTTTTCGGCTCACAGAAGGCGACATGCTCGTCTTCAACAACCGCCGACTGCTGCACGGCCGAACGGGCTACGACGCTCAAGCCACGTGGCGCCACCTCAAAGGCTGCTACCTCGACGCTGAAGACTACAAGAGCAAACTCACAATGCTGCGCGGGCGGCGCCACTACTCGACGAAGCGCTATGTCCGCCCGCCGCCGCCATCGCACTTGGATCCTGGCTACGACGCCTTCTCGGCGGCGTTTGTCTCGGCGGCGTTGGCCAACGTCCAGGACGTGATCGATGCAGGAGCAACGTACGACGACGGCAGTAGCTTGAAAGCGGTCGCCGACGCCGGCGCCGCGTCGTTTCGAACGCTGGCCGACGGCAACAAGGCCGACTATGTGTACCAGTGCTCGCTGTACGACCACGACATTCAGGTATTCGATGCCCTAGACATCTTGGTACTAAATCGATGTAGGTCAACTTGGTGCCACGGCTCTTGGGGATGCTCCAGAAGCTTGAGGGCGACCACGTTCGTCTCGGGACGGGCACGCAGGTGGATTTGTTCGAGCACAGCCTGCAGTGCGCAACGCTGGCGCACACCGACGGCGCCGACGAAGAGCTCGTCGTCTGCGCGCTCCTGCACGACATTGGGGAGCTCCTCTCGCCGTGCAACCATGGCGAGATCGCGGGTGCGATCCTTCGCCCGTACATCAGCCCCGAGCGGTACTGGATCCTCGCCCACCACGAGATCTTCCAGGTTCGACGCTTTGCCACGTTGCAACTCGATGATTATGCGTAGGGGTACTACTACTTTCATCACGTGGGCGGCGACCGCGAGACGCGCCAGCAGTTTGCCGACCACCCGCAGTTTGCGGCGACCGTCGACTTTTGCCACAAGTACGACCAGGCAGCGTTCGACCCGGCCGCCGACACGTACGCGCTGTCGTTCTTTGAGCCAATGCTGCGCCGGATCCTCTCGCGCAAGGCCTACTTCTTCGCGCCTAGCCACCCCAAGCTCGGCTGCGTCACGGGCACGTCCCTGACATAAGATTGTGTCCTTCCTTGCTATTCCATTCGTAATTTGATATTGCATCCGTCCATCTGCCCGGCTCGGTGGGTGCTGGCGCTGTTGGCGCTGGCGCGGCCGGTGCGGCACTTCCTGGCCGCCGTCGGCGTCTTGCCTTTTCTAGCTTTTTTAGTTAGCGCGGCCAATCAGATTGACGAAAATAGTTAGCGCTGCCAATCAGCATCTGATTTGCATCTCATTGGTCAGCATACCGCAGTATTTTTGCCAATCAGCGAAAGGAATGAATTTTATTAGTCAAAATTCTGGAGCTGTGGACCATAAACGTCCAAGAGTACAAACACGCATACAAATTTCAAGTCTAATTCGTCCAAGGAGCACTTCCTCGTAGCCCAGACCGAAGCACGGACCTCTATTGTCTTAACGTGAACACCATAGACATGTACGCTGTTTTCCCAGTGTTCTCGCTGCCTCCTTCCCTCTTTTTTCTCTTTCTTCCCTTTTTCTGTGTGCCAAACATTTTTACGTTTATGGTTCATAAGCCCATCTGCCGATGTATTTATTGTGCACAGCATAGTCTAGGAGGACTCGTCGCCGGCCTTCTTTCGCTGGCGCAGAAGTTGCTTGTACTTGGTCGGGTGCCGCCGCTTCCAGTCGTCCTCGAGCTCGTTCTGCAACGCCGCAAGGTGCTCCGGTACCCAGAGCTGCCTGCGCAAGAGAATATACTATGAAACCAGCGATCGACAATATTGTACACGTACCGAGCGAGCACGTCGTCGCGGTTATGGGGGTATTGGTCGCTGAGGAAGAAGGCTTCACTAATGTCCTAACACTACAATGAACGTAATACTGAAGGACAATATTGTACCAACGCCTTGCACGTCAAGTACAGCACCGCGTCCGGAGCGTACGGCCGGCGCAAGTACGCATAGTCATACCACCACCGGAGTCGCCACACCACGTATAACATGAGCGAGTAGGGCAAGAGCAGAAGCCGAACCAGCAGCAGCTTGCGCAGCCTACGTCAACCGTGGAGGGATCGCCGGCGATGCAGCGACGTACGTTGGCTTTTCGTAGCCGCCCGAGATCTCGGAGGACGCCATGAGCTCGTCGACGATGGCCTCGAGCTCGGCTTTGGCCGCGTCTTTGGCCTTCTTGTCCTTGGCGCGCTTGAGATGCGCGTTGCGCTCGGTTTGCACGGCCAATGCCTGGCGCTTGACCGTGTCCGACTACGTTTCGAGATGGCGTCGTGTGGCCAAATGTCGACTGTGGTACCTGGCGAAAGTATGCGATCGCTTGCTTATGGCGGTGAACTTGGGATAGGTACTGGCAGAGCGTGAGGAAGAGGACGAACCCGAGCACGATGAGGCGCGCGTCCGACTTTGGCGCGTACGCGTGCTGGACGTACATGCCATAGTTGTACGCGTAGTCTGTCGGGTGGTCGAGGTAGTGGTCGTAGGCGGCGCGCTTGGTCACGTCGGCGAGCACCTCGTAGGCGGTCGCGAGCGCTTGGAACGCCGACGCTGCGTCCGCGCTCGGGTTCTTGTCCGGGTGCATCAGCAGCGACAGCGCGCGGTACTGCTTGCGGACCTCGGTCGCCGACGCCGTGCGCTCGAGGCCAAGCAGGTCGTAGCACTCGCGCTGCCCGCAGTACATGTTGCGGCCATGGACGACCGCGAGCACGAGCGCAAGCCACCGCACTTGCATCGAAAAAGTGTTTAAAACACGGTTTGCAACACAACGACATGTCGCAAGGTTTGGGGATAGGGCCGTGGATTCGTTAGGTTCTAAATCTAAATAACAAAGGACGCGCCTTAGTGCCTAACGAATGCTTAGAGCCCCGGCGGACGCATGCCCAGCTGCGGCTTGAGGTGGCCATGCAGCGTCGCGAGCTCGGTCTGGAGCGTCATGTTGAGCTGCTGTAGAAGACGGTTTTCGTGCTCGAGCTGCTCCATGCGGAGGAGCGACCGCTGCAAATGGTCGCGCAACTGCGCGTTCTCCATTTCGCCGTTGCGGTTGACCGCCATGAGCGACTCGGCCGTCTGCTTGAAGTACTGCGCCCGGGACATGACTTCATCAACGTCGAGGACGGTCTCTGCCTACGCGTATCACGTCGTCAGTCAAGGGCATATGCAATATGGCTGTCGACCTGGCCAGGAATGAAGACAGTGATGTGTTTCGGGTGGTAGGAGACAGCGTTCAAGTTGATCTTGGGGCTGTGCATGGCCGGCGGCGACAAGGACGGCGGCGGCGTGGCCGAGCCGTTCGAGGGACGCGCCGGAAGCTCGTTGCGCGGTGAGGTACGCTGCTGGTTCGCAACAGGCGTGGGAGGTGGCACGACGGGCGCCGGCGACGCGACCTAACGTTTATGAGCCATCGAGTGGATGGAGACGTGGTGAGGTATACCGTCTTGGCCTTGGGCTTGGGCTCCGCTACAGGAGCCACATTTTTCTGCTTGGTTTGTTCGACTACGGGGGATGCCTTTGGCTTGGGCTCGGCCATAGGCTGCTTGGTGGGCTTTTGTTCGACCGCCGGCGTCGGCTTGGCCACTGGCGCCTTGGCCACCGGCGTCTGGACTGACTTGACAGCAGGAGCCGGCGTCGGCTTGACAGCAGGCGTCGGGGCGGCAGGCGTGGCTTTCGCGACGGGTGCCGGTTTGGACTTGGGTTCGGGGCTCGCAACCGGCGCCGGCTTGGCAACGACGGGTACAACCGCCGGCTTGGCCTTGGGCTGTACCGCAGGCTTGGCCTTCGTCGCAGGCGGTTGCGCCACAGGCTTGGGCTTGGCTTCGGGCGGCGGCTGGGACACGACCTTGGGCTTCATTTCAACAACGACAGGCTTGGGCTTGAGTTCAACGACGACGGCGCGCGGCTTGGGCTCGGCGGCGACCAGGGCCTTTGGCTTGTTCTGCGCTTCACGAAGCTTGTCGGCAAACGACATGGGCGGCGGCGCCGGCGTCTCTACAACTGGCTCTGGCTCGGGCGCCGCGAGCTGCAACACGGTCAAGCATGGCCTCGTGCATGGCCAAAGTACCTCGTCGTCTGCGGGCGTCGGGTTCGTCGACGCGCCTTTCTTCTTCTTCTTGGACTTCTTGGACGTCGCACACATGGCCAAGCTCTTAAGCGTGAGCTCTTCTCTACGCAGGACGCAAGGGTGAGCTACGCAGTGCATGGCGCGCGTACTGCTTCTTGGCCTTGAGCTTCTCCTTCTGCTTGGTCTGCTTGGCGGCCTTGTCTGCGTTGGCGCTGTAGTGCTGGCTAATGGCCGTGTCATCGTCCGAGTCGTCGGCGAACGCAAGGAAGACGCTCTTCTTCATGCTGCAAGTGGTATCGGCGGGGGAATTTCTGCGCGTGTCGTTTCCAATGGTTTTCAATACTGTCACACTCGATATGCCAATCCCATGCAATTTTAGAGGTTATAAAAAACACGCGTTTTAAACCATGAGCTCGACCTCAACCTCAACCTCAACGCCGTCGCGCGCTTCTCGCAGCCGCCCAGAGCCACCGAGATAGCCGCCGTGGACGCGCCCGACAGGCGCTTGGACACGATGCACGGTTCGTGGAGCGTATGTATCGTTCGTCTGCAGAATGGCCGTGTTTCTTTGGTGCTTCGAGGGCGCCAAAGCCGGATCCGCTACGAAGTTTAGTGTCCAGCGTTGCACTCTACGTGGACGAGGTGATAGTAGATAGCATGGCAGTGGCGGCTGGCTCCTTCTGCAGCTCAAGGGCAGCGTGGTGACAGCGCAGCATCCACTTGGCTATCTTATAGTGTTGCTTTGGGGTAGGGTGTTTAAAACATTATACTGGATCTTGGTATGCTCTAAGATCTGGCAAAACACTCGATTCCGCGTTCTATATTCCGTGCCAAAGACACCACGTGGAGCGATGGACATGTCCCTCGGTGCGGTCCGCCGCCACCGCTCTCGCCCGCTCACGTTGCCACGTAGATGATCTCATCAAGTCGCGCCAGCCAGCCAAGGGTCGGCCCGCGCCATCGAAAGTCAAGGTCTCGCCGCCGAGAGCCGCGGCCCCGTTGTCGCCGACGGCCGGGGACCCCATGACCATGTCCTTGGGTACGCTCGGACATCGTTTGCCGCCGCTCAGTTCCACGAATAGATGATCTGATTGCGTCCAAGAAGAAGGCGCGCGAGTCTGTCAAAGCCAAGACGATCCCGCCAGTCAAGGTACCTTGCAATCTTGCGTGTGGTCTGACGTCCTGTGCTAGAAGCAGCAGGTCGCGCAGGCCCACGCCAAGCAGAAGCGTCGGTCCGCGGTCAACGAGGTACCTCATCGTCTCCTACGTATACGCCTTATATCGTGGTGCGCAGCGGCGTGGCGTAGCGCAGGCGCCCGAGCCGCCCGTGCGTCGCGGTGGCCGGCCTCCGCGGCGCCGCCCCGCCGCGGCCGCGCTGCCCAACTGGGCCAAGCACAGCTTGGAACACCCGACCAAGTTTGAGGTGCCAAAAGGCATGAACTTCAAGATTTCAATTGCGTACGTACAACAGGTCCTCGTGCATAACGCGCCGACGAATCATGGTGCTCTGGCTCTAGCATGGACAACGTCCGTCCCGTCGTGGGCATTCCGCCGCAGCGGTAAAGATCCACGCGTCCGCTGCCATCCTAGCACCGACCGCCGTGACCCGTCGTCGTCGAATCGTCGCAGTCGTTTTCTTAATGCTACGAAAAAAGATATCCGGTCAGTTGTCATCCCGAGATGCCATCATCGGGCCTTGGCTACTAGTACCTACTGCGGCCATAACAACAACAACACCGCGACGAGTACTGTGGGTACTACGTGTACAGCCGCACAGTAATCCCCGCGGTCGATCCCTCGCATCACTCGATCCGCAACCGCATCCTCGGCAGAAGCGGCGTCTTTGTAGTACTCCAAGTGGAGTCGCTGCAAGGCTCCCTGGTGTGTGTGCCAAGGCGCGTCTGGGTAACGAGCAAAGGAAGCGATGGACGCGCCGTGCGTCGATGCGCCGCCTGTCTCCTTCGGCGGGGCGACGACGAACGGCAAAGTCCCGGGAGCGTGACTCACGCCGCGCCAGGTGGCCAATGAGCCGTGACTGCGAGGCTGTTTTTGCGACGACCAGTTTTCACATGCACCTCAAGTACAGCGACGTCCTCGACATCGTCGGCAGTGCGGCGCGCGACGGCGGCGAGCTCGGCGTCGCGTCGCGCACCAAATGGCCGTGGACGTTTCGCGACTATCACGCGGACATGCCCCACGAGCTCCTCCTCCGGCGCGGCGCGTCGCTCGTGCACCACGTTGCGCACGAGTGCAAGGCGCGCAACATGCTCGAGCACGCGGGCTCGCTCGACGAAAAGGTGTTTGCGAGCAAAGACAGCAGCCGGAACCTCTTTAGCGTCAACGCAATGGTCGAGATGGCCGGGTCGATTCCCCAAGTGCTCGATGTGCTCGTCGGCAAGCACGGCGACGACTATGGCAGCTTCCTCGCGCGCGTCTTTCGAGGCCACCTTGTCGGCACGGCGACGCTGCGCGCCCTCGCTGTCTCGCCCGACGGCTACATCCACGAGAAGCCGCCGACGTCCGAGGCGGGCGCGTCCACCGACGCCATGGACGACGGCAACACGTTCAACCACGTGGCCGCGATCGCGACTGCCGAGCTCCGTGAGACGCATTTTTTCAAAAAGGTGTCCAAGGAGCTGCTGTATATGGACTTTATGCACATCCAGCCCAACGAGCGCGCCGTCACGCGCGTCTTCAAGACGATCGACAACGAGTCGGGGCCGATGAGCGCGCAGGCCATGGACCGCTACAAGCACGTGCTCTTTGGGTACCACGTGGAGCGGCTCGGGCGCGGCGACCGGCTCCGCATTAGCTTTTACGGCGACTATTGCATTAGCACCAAGCAAAAGCAGTCGTGGAAGGACACAAAGCACCTTCTTGAGAAGCTCGCTGCGTCCGTGCACCTCCTCAAGCGCATTTGCGAGCGCCAGCACATCGAGTCGGCGCTGCCGTGGACCACCGACGACAAGGACGCCAAGAAGTGGTGCCACGTGTGCCACAAGTCGTTTTCGCTCTTCCGGAAGCGCACGTACTGCAAGTACTGCGCGCTGCCCGTGTGCTCCGACTGCTTCAAGTTTGAGCCGATCGCAATGGCTGGCGGCGCGAGCTATGAGGTGTGCATCTGCCGCCTCTGCAAGACGACGCGCCAAGCGCGCACGCAGAGCACGCGCGCGTCAATGAGCTCGCACCTCTCGTCGCACCACCGCGTGTCCCGGTCGTCGGCGAACCGGCACTCGGTCGGGTACTATGACGCCGACGACGACGCGCACGAACACGCCAAAGGTACCGTACCGCTCTCGATCGTTCCCGAGACGGACCCGTGCAGCCTCTGCCGGCAACCCACCGCGTCGGCGACAACTTGCCGGCTCTGTCGGCAGTCGTGCTGCGCCCACTGCTGCCGCATCCAGCAGTACACCAACCGGCATGGCATCGCGTTCGAAGCGTGGCTCTGCCTCCAGTGCCTCGCGTCGACGACGCAGGCGGTCACTGGTCCACCGTCGCACAAGCGCGACCGGATATCCGTCTACGAAAAGCCGCCGGCACCGACGGCCGAGCCGACGACGACAACAACCAACAACAATTTTACCGCGTCCGACTTCATCGATACTGCGTCGTACGCGGTCAAGCACCTCGTGGCCAACCCCAACCCGAATCCCAACCCCAACGTGAATCCCAACGCGAATCTGAATTCGAATCCGAGTGCAGCTCCCGCCAAGGGCGGTAGCGCGGGGCGGCCGTCGACGGACCGTGCGAACGAAGCACGGTACTCGCGGCACAGCACCAACGAGGCGCGCTTCCAGCACGAGCAGCACCGCCTCAGCGAGCAGTCGGAGCTCCGGTCGAGCTTTAGCGTCGACGACACGAGCTTTGACAACACGGCGGGCGACGGCGGCTACACGTTTGCGCTACCGATGCACGTCGAGGGCAGCAACGCGTCCGAAGACAATGCAAGCGTCATGAACACGACGCTGCATCGCGGCGACGACGACGACGACGAGGCGCACCCGCTCTCGGCCACGTCGCCGATCGTGCTCAACGGCGTCGCCTTCCACACCGAGTCGCTCCTCGCGCTGCCCAAGGGGGCGCCCAAGCCAAAGCCGCCACCGTCGTCGCCCAAGCAGGTCGTGTCGCTCGGCGCTGTCTCGAACGCCCGCCTCCTCCTCCACGACAACGCATCGTCCACCAAGAAGCATATCGCGTCGAGCAGCGTCCAGAGCAACGAGAACGCAGTGCCGAGCGTCCGGTCAACCGCGCCGAGCACCAACATGGTGCCGAGGGACGCGCGGTCGACGGCCACCAACGACGCGCAAGATGCGATCGAAGCAGAGACCTTGCGTGTCGTTGCGTTTCTCGACATGGCGTCCAACGATGCACTCGACAGCATTTGCCACACGATCGCGACGCGCATGGACTGCGCGTACGGGTTTGTCGTGTTGATTTATAAGGGCGACTTTGTGCTCAAAGGCGCCGCGTCCGGCGACCGCGCGGACGCCGACGCGCCGACACAGATCCCGCGGGACTGTATTCTTTCGAGCCACAGCTGCCAAGTGCCGCTGATGCTACCGGACGCCGAGATGGACCCGCGCTTTGCCCACTCGCCGCGCGTTCTGGGCGACGAGCGCATCCGCTTTTATTATGGCCTTCCGCTCGTGTCGCCCTCGGGCGTCCTCCTCGGGACGGTGGCCGTCGCCGACACGCACGCCCGCGTGCGTATTTCCTCCAAGCAGCACCAAGCCATGATCTGGTTTGCCGAGTCGACCGCCGCGCTCATCGTCCACCGCGTCCAGACCATGTAACACGCGCCTCATTTGTCACGCGCTCAACACGACGTCTCTATGTATATAACTGTTTGTTCCAGTGTCGAGTCCTTACGCTGGAGGTGTCGTCGACAAGTTAACGACGAGGGTGGCCATGAAAAATGGCGTTCACCCTTCGAACCCTAACCCCACCGACCCCGAACCCTAGAGGCGGTCGGGAATCTGTTGGTTGCTCTCTGAGCCAGTCACGTCGTCTGCAGTAGACAACATTCAACACGGTACACATAGTCGACCACGTCTACCATGGGGTGCACGATGGTACCGCGGAAGCACGCGTATTTCGTGTCACGCTGACCGACGTCGGTGGTTGTCGCAGACGAAAGGACGTATGCTACAACATACGACTAGACTACGGTGGTTACTAGAAACTATGGGTCTGACTCGGCGCTGCTTTTCGAGAGCGCGGTCGACGTGCGGTGTCGGTACTCGACGAGGTCGACGACGGCTTGTGCAAACTTGTGCATGGCTTGAATGTGTTGGGCGTGGAAGCGCAGGCGCGGCGCCGTATCGGCGATCGTGACGGTCCCGAGCAAAATGCCTTCGAGCGTCACAATGGGCATCCCGACAAAGAACCGAATGCTCTCTTTGCCGAGGACGCGGGGCGATTCTTTGAAGCGCACGTCCACGGACGCGTCGGGCACGATCGTCGGCTCGTCGAGCGACTGCAGCGTCGCCAGGTTGAGCTCGCAGCGCGACGGAATCGTGGTCGGAATGTACCCGGTGCCGGCGACGCCTTTGAGCATGAACGCCTCCTTGTAGATGAGGCACACGGCGGCGTGCGCGACCTCGAGCTCGTCGAGCGCTTGGGCACAGAGCGCATCGTGGTACGGTGTTGAACCCATGTCCAAACACGCGCTTTCCCGAAGCGCGTCGATCGCGCTGCTTTGGATGCTCGTGCGCGCGTCGCTCTCGAGCACGATCGACGACGGCTGGTGCGACGACGCCAGAAACGACGACGTCGGCGACGACAACGGCGACAACTCGTCGTTTGAGATGTACGTGTTCGTGTCCCAAGGGTACTCGTCCACGGGTTTTCGCCGGGATGGGTGGTTGCAGCTGCCGCAGACGAGCAGGTCGAACGTCGAGAGGCTGCCGCGCCGTGTCGTGACCGCCTGCGGCGACACGCACGCGCGGCAAAAGAGCTGGCTACAGACGCCACACGGGTGCAGCGGCCCCCGCGCCTGTGCGCATTGTGTGCACGGCGTGTCTCTCGAAGGCTCAAAGCGCGACGCATTGGGTGCTTGCACGATCGAGACGCCCCAGCTGCTCTCGCTCCAGTTGCCATCGTCGTCGTCCAGCGTCTCCTGGGCGTACGCGGGCGCGACCGTGCTTGCGACGTCGTGCTGGACGGCGTCGACGCAGGCGCAGCAGATCGGGACGCGAAACTCGAGTCCATTTGGACTCTCGACGTCCTCCATGGCCGTGCACTCGTGGCATGTCGGAGCGAGACACACGCTGCAGATAAGCGGCCGCCGGAAGAAATGAAAGACCTTGGTGCAGACACGGCACGCAGCGTCGAGCGTCAACGGCACATCCGGTCGGCGCTCGACGTGCAGCTGGCGGGAGCCAAGCCGCTTCCGCAGCAGCGTCTGCTGGACCACGAGAATGTTTTCGCCGATGCTCTCGAGCCGCGACCGGACGTCGGCCGACGACGCGAGCTGCGGCGGGTACACGCAATGCTCGGCGTAGAACGAAAGGCGCACCGACTTGGGCGACGTCGCTTCCAAATGCAAGCCAAAGAGAACGTGTGTGTACCGCGGGAGGATCGTGGTCGCGTTGAGCTTTGTTGGGTGGCTTCCGCTGTCGATGGATTTGCAAATCCGGCCAAACGAAGTAGCCGAGAGCGGCTCCATGTGGTCGAGGAAGAAGAGCTCCTTGAGGTTGCGCCCGAGGCCGCGCTCGCGAAACCACGCCTTGCGCACGCTGCAATTGAGGTCGTTGTCCGTGTAGACGAGCCGCGCGAGCTCGAGCCGCTGCAAATCGTCGCCAAAGATGCGGTACAAGAGCATGTCGCCGTTGTTGCCAGCAATAAGGTCTTGCACTTCGCTGAGCTTGGCCGCGATCTCCAAGCTCGACGTCACCGTGTACAGCTGCGTGCGCTGGTTGTACGTTGCTACGAGCCGCGACGGTTCGTGCACCGCGAGCACCGACTCGTCCCGGTCGGTCGTGTTGCGCCGCGCTTCAAACGACGCGCGCGACGAGCACTCGCGCTGGAGACGACGCAGTGCGTCCTGGCCACGCTCGACTAACTGCATGCGCGACGATGTCTCGACGTTGTCGAGGAGCGCCCATGGCCACGTGCTCCGGTTCGCGGCGCCGCGGTCGTCGTTACTGCTCGTGAGGTTGCTCAGTGGTCGCCGGGTGGCCGTGCGCACCGTCACGCGGCGTGTGGCGGCTGTCGGCGCCGGCTCGCACCGGCGAAGCGGGTGCGCCATCGAGTTGACGGCCTCGTCGTGCGCTGGCGTTGTTGCGCCTGTCTTGCGCGACTTGCCTGTCTTCCAGAGGCTACGCGCCCATCCCAGAAGGTGTTTGTCCTCGCTGCGCTGGCTCATGGGTAGTACAACACTGGGCAAGCCGCTGAAGAAGGTGGTGTCGTCGGCGCAGTCACGTTGGTGTCGTCGGCGCAGTCACGTTGGTCAACGCTCAATGTACAGTGTACCTGGCGCCCTCAGTCGCGAAATGGTTGCGTGCTTTTTTGTATCCTAAAATGCACCCATGCCGAATTTCAGAGTCGAAAACCGGTTTCTATGCACCGAAAAGCCGAATTGTGCATTGAAATTCGGATATCAGGCCTGAATGGACAAACGTCAATGTCGGACAGGCGCCATCAAGTACTGTTCAATGCGCGGGGCTGTGAAGGCGCTAACGTTGGTACCGTGGGCGACGGCGCCTTGTGGCACCAAACGGTTGGTGCGTGGCGTCTAGCCTGCACTGTACTTGCTATCAACGCATCAGTGCCGCTGTCGCTTCTGTGCGGCGTGTGGTAAAAGGCTTGTGTAACAAGCGAGCGCATCCGACGCGTGCGGAGGCCCGAAGCGTTCCTACGAGTTCGATGATTCCAAGGACGTACAATGCACGACCGCCACTCGCACCTTGCCACGCGTCCGTGTGCGCCACATCTGCCGACCGCTTTGGAGAGGCAAGGGTTGTGCATCTGGGTAGTATAGATAAGCTTGCAGCTCTAGACAGGCATTTGTTGAGGGCAATTGCACAGCAACCGTCTTCTTGGGACGCACGTAAGTCAAGTCAAAGTATGTTTACACAAGGAATCCAACTTCCCTTGGTTTCACGCATTTCAAGTCCGTGTCAGGAAAGTGCAGCCAGCAATAATACCGGTACAAATGTAGTACGACAACACTATGCATATAGTACTCGACACGGAGAGACCACTTGTGTACCTGGTATCCGTGCAAGGCTCTTGTTTTAACCCACCTCGCTTTGCAAAGCCAAACGGACAGTCGAGTGCCAGCCTCGTCATCGTCCAACCCAGGTGCAGACGAGGGGAGTTGCCACATGATTTACGATGTGTGGGCCACATTTTGTGCACTCATTCTCATTCACAGAAAATAAGCTCAAGTATATGGTTAGAGTGTATGGGGCTCAGTGAGGCACGGACGATGGGGCGTTGGGGTTATTCCTTGGCGTCGGCGGTGGTCGAAAGCGACGTCAACATGGGCGCGTGCGGGTTGCGTATCCACGGTGGACGCACGACAAAGTAGATGCTGTTGTCGCCGGGCTTGACGTTCCAGTCCTCCACGACCTACACCCGTAGTTGCATACTCCCCAGTGCTTTGGTTCGTTAGTGTACCTTGTGCAGCTGGAACTTGGCCATGAGGCGGTGGCTATTCGCAAAGACATTCATGTACGCAGTCAGCGCATGCTCGAGGCCTCCGACTGTGTCCAGATCAAACTGGATCTACGCCATTGTGTCCATAGCATGCTCCTAACGCTTGTGGACCGCACAACGTGTCGTACCGCAATGTTGCCGTCGTCGGTGGGCGCCACGACCACCTTGCAGTCCTCCCAGTCGTTGGCGATCACTTCGTGGAGCTCTTTAATGAGGTCGGGGAGCAGCTTCTTGGTCGGCGCGTCGCCAATCGGCTTGGCCGCACCGCTCGGCACAAAGTCGTGGTAGAGAATTTTCTTCTTCTCAATCCATCGCTCGCGCACAGCGATGTCATGCGCGTCGTCGTAGTAGACGTCCATATGTGGGTAGACAAAACTCTTGTCTTCAAAGCCGTCTTCGTACTTGAGTTTCTTGGCGTTGCTGCTGCACACAAAGTCCTTGCCGCCAATCTGATATCGCTTTGCCTCCGACTCGAGACGCTCCTAGCCAGTATCATGATGCGAAAATTTATATTTGTTGGCGCCGTACCGCGCGGTGGAGCTCGTCGCTGAGGTTGAAGCGCGACGGCGTGTACTCAAACTGGTTGAAGAGGCCGTTTTTCGTCACGATCTTGGGCGGCGCCTTGAGCACAACGGCCGTATGGCGGTTCTCGTCCATTGCCTCTTGCCGCGCCATGTTGACGCTGTTGGGACCGAGCCGGGAGGGCATTTTGAGCAGCGAGTGGTAGTTGCCGGTCGAGAAGGCGCTCTTGATGTGCTCGGCCTCAGCATTTGCGTACTCGGGCAATATCGACGAGAAGTTGGGGAGCATGTAGTGGGGTACCCCGCCCTCCTCGTCGCTTGCTTGGTTCATTGCACAAAACCTGTGTCAACCGGTTAGGCAGCGATGACGCATCTAAAAATAGTAGCCAATCCACGACGCGTGTCAACCGTGAGGTGGTAAATTGCGTGTGTTGCGTGTAAAATAAAAATCACATGAGAAAGCGCGCGATCAGATCTGGTTTGGCGCGAGCATCTGGCGCGCAAGGCAGAACCGTCATCGTGCACAACCTATGGATGCATTTGGTTTGCACATCAGGATGCCACGCGAGGACGATGTGCGTGGTGGTAGCTGGTCGTAGAGTCATCTGGTCGACCGTGCAATGGCGCTAAAAGCTGCACTGATGCCCCAGAAAATAGTTGTTGGAGCTTTTCATGACAAATGCGGTAGTATCTGGAGGTGCAGTCAACTTGGTAGCTAGTACAGCGTGCGCGGTATCCGCATCGTACATGGCGTGCAAGCAGAGAGTGCGTTCGCTCACCACGAACGCACTTGCACAAGGCTTGTCAGGTCGCTGAAGAAGGTGCACGCGTGCTTTTAGCAATCAAGGCAACGATAGAAACCGCGCAGTACTGGTAGTTCGTACCCAAGCACCACGCTCCTCGACAGTGGCGTCGAGAAAAAGAAAAGCTGATTGTTCCAATCCATCCGAAATGGTTGATAGCGCGCATTTCTTGCGCGGTGCTCGCTTCCGAGTAGTAGCTAGGTCTATAAACAGAGCTGTTCATACCCTTGGTAGTGGTGCCTCACGTGCC